TAATAATAATAATAATAATAATAATAATAATAATAATAATAATAATAATAATAATCTGAGGGGGTTTTATATGGAGGTGTAAAGTCTGGAATTGGGGCTGGAAGGGATCAGGGGTGGTTTAACAGTCATTTAGAACCTGTAGCCACTCTGGCAACTGCTTGGCCTGTTATGAAAGTCTCATTTATAAAACCATGGGATGCTTTGGGTTGGGAGGGACCTTGAAGATCACCCAGTTCCTGCCATGGGCAGAGACACCTCCCACCAGCCCTGGAGGCTCAGGACCCCTCCAATGTCATGTGCTTGTGTTTTCCTCCCCTTGCACACCCAGGACAGGTGAGAAGCCCTTGTGTTCCCTGCAAACACCCTGCTCTCCCACATACCTTTGGAAAAGTATTATCCTGCCCCATCTCATGGAGTAAGGAGATCAGGGCAGGACAACAGGGCATTTTACCACCATCCTCACCTCATTAAGGTGCTGCCAGGCCTGCCAGCCCTCCTGTGGGTGTGCAGAGTTCCACATCCATGGTGGGGTTTGGCAGGAATTGATATTCAGGGGCAGCCCGAGCTCCAGTCTCTCCTCAATGAAAAGGCTGATCTGAATTTCAGGGGGAAGTTCTGCCTGTCTGGGGTCAGGTGCAGGGGGAGCAGAGAATGCAGGGAAGTGCTGAGCAAATAGCAGAAAATGTCTGGCATTAATATTCATTTGGTTGCTGGGAACCAATATATCCAATTTACCCCTGCTCAGAGCTCTGGGGTGTTTGGTTTTGTGAGCACCCCCCTTCTCCTGAGCACCTGCTTTCCTTTTGCTCACTGTGAGCTGAGATTTAATTTTTGGTGGAGAATTTGCCCTCAAAAAAATTAATTTCTGCCCCTCAACTGGATTTCTTCCCGTTGAGCCACATGGTACCCCCAAAAAAACACCTAATGAGGCAAAGAGTACAAATTTTGCCCTGTTTTGCCTTCTATGAGCATTGACACTGACCTTGCACAGGTCACTCTGTGAACTCCAAGGAGGATCTGCAGTTGGAAGTGCAGTTGGAAGCACCAGCACTCCTGGAATTCTCTCTGGAAGAAATTAATAACTCTGGGTTAAAAAGAAATCAGTGAATTCTGAGATCCCTGTTGAAGGACAGGCATTAAGGATGGAATTCCCTGAGTAACTATTGGAGCTGGAGCTGGAGGGGGTTCTCCCTTCTCTGTGACTGCCCAGATCCCACTGAGGTCCCCAAGATCTTCCCTCAGTATCCCAAAAAGGTGCTGATGGATGTTGCCTCACCCTTGGTCACCATTCAGTGCCCTCCAAAGGGACTGACACTGTGCAGGCACCTCCATCTCCCCTGACCTGCACCAGAACCTCCCCTGGACTGACCCAAACCTGTTTCCCACCGGGAGTGAGAAACTTTGGGGGACACAAATTCCCGGATCCATCTCCGTGGGGTTCAGAGGGCTTGGTTGCATTTTGCCAATTCCTCCTCCTCGTGGAGAGGGGGAGGGTTTTCCCTGAGTCCATCCTGTGGCTTTTCACTCCCAGCTGAACACCTGCTGCTCTTTTTTTTTGCCCTTCCAGCCTACCAGCTGTTCCGGTGCCAGCCTCCCACCATGGTCCCCAACGCCGAGATCATCACTGAGAACGAGGAGTTCAACATAGGTAACCTCTCCTCACCCTCCCATCCCTCCTTCCCCCCTCTCCAGCTGCTGGGAATGCCCTTGGGAACACACCCCCCCCCACCAGGAGCTGTGCCTGACCCTGCCCAACACCAGCACCGACCTGGAGTCAAACTGCTCCCGTTGTCCCGAGGCTTTTGGGACTTTTCCTGTCCCTCTCAGCACAGCTTTGGCTTTTGGGAGAGTGTTTGGGAATGCTCAGGAATCTTTGGCACACTCACAGTTTTCAGGTGTTTCTCACAGAGCCTTGTGTGGAAGCTCAGAGGCCTTTATTCCTTTATTTACCAAGAACCTTTTCAGCCACATCCACGATGCTCTTTGTGGGTTTTCTGGGTGTTGCTCACGGTTTCAGCCACGTTTTAAGTGTCTGCAGCCACTGAAGTAGCCAAGATTTTTCTTAAAGGGAAGGGATTTTTCTTGGAGGGAAGTCTCCACCTGAAATAACTTCACAAAATCGTGACAGTCCCAGTGTCACCAGCTCATCCCAGTGGGATTCCAGCGTGCCTCTTATTTCTGTAATTACACCTTTTATTTCTGTATTTACACCTTTTATTTCTGTGTTTACACCCTTTATTTCTCTATTTGTACCTTTTATTTCTGTAATTACACCTTTTGTTTCTGTAATTACACCTTTGATTTCTTTGTTTACACCTTTTATTTCTGTGTTTACACCCTTTATCTCTGTGTTTACACCCTTTGTTTCTGCCTGTTCTCAGTGGCAGAGGCACAGCCAAGAGGTCTCTGCAGCCCAGGGTTCCCCCATCCCAGGGCACGGTTCAACCTGGATGAATTCCATGATCTTTCCCTTGGGTTGAAGTGGTTTTTGCCCCTGTCTGCAGGTGACATAGTGAGGTACAGGTGCCTGCCCGGCTTCACCCTGATTGGAAATGAAATCCTGACCTGCAAACTCGGCACTCACCTCCAGTTTGAGGGGCCTCCTCCCACGTGTGAAGGTAAAGCTGGGGGTGCCCAGGGTGGTGGTCCCACAGTCTCTGCACTTCCCTGCCCAGGGATTGTTCCCAAGTGGGGGGATGGCTGAGGGAGGGAGCTGGGGGAGGTTTCCTTGCACATTCTGCATCTTTGGGGTGAATTCTCCCCATCTCCAGGGTCCCAGGAGTGCTAAACCTCCCATCAATACCTTGTGAGGAGGGAGGTGAGACCCCCCCTGTGCAGGGCAGGGCTGAGCTCCTTGGCTGGGCTCCCACAGCACCCAGTGAGCAGCAGGGAGAGGGTGACTGGGGGGTTTGGTGCAGCAGCTCTGATAAACCATGAGGGAAGGTTCAGAGAATCACAGAACATCCTGAGCTGGAAGGGAACCCCAAGGACCATCCAGTCCCACCCCTGGCCCTGCCCAGACACCCCAAAAATCCCCCCCTGTCCCTGAGAGGATCATCCAAACCCTCCTGGAGCTCTGGCAGCCTCGAGGCAGTGACCAAACCCCAGGGAGCCTGTTCAGTGCCCAAAGTGTTCCAGTTCCTGTTCCTCCACCCCTTGCTGGCTCCAGGGATTCTCTGGGATCTCCACATGGTGTGGGGGGGTTGCCTCGTGCTGGGTACCCCTGGATTGTACCCCAAGTGTTCAGGGAGGCACTTGGAGCTTGTCCTGCCCCGAGCAGTGCTGGGACACTGCTGCACTCTCCAGGCCACTGGAGATGTCCTTCCCTTGGGAAGGGGAGGAGTGCTGGGCTACCAGAGCCACAGGAACAGCTGGAGGAGGAGCAGGCAGAGAATCCTGCAGGAACAGCTCCTCAGTCAGTGCCACGGAATGTCTGACACAGGAGAGGAATGAAAGGCCCAGCACGCTGGTTGTACACCTTGCTGCTGCTCAGGAGGGATCCCAGAGATACTTCCCTGCTCCCATGTTCCTTTTTTTATCCTCTGCCTTCCTGCTGGGGCTTTTGTTCACTCCAGCAGCGATTATTTCATCTCCTTCATTCCCTCCTATCTGGACATTTTTACCATATAATGGGATATTTTTCTATGGCTTTATTCTCTCTGAAAAAGCACGAGCTGAAGGAGAGAAAGGGAGGTCATTCAATTATTTACTGGTGGTTGTTAGCCTGGGGGTAAAGGGACTGCTTAAATTACATCTGGCCACCAATTTCTAGAGGTCAAAAAAATCACTGATGGGATTAAGGATTTGGAAAGAATACACTGTTCTTTCTGGGTACTTCTGGCTATTTTCTATTCATGGGAGCCCAGCGTTTGCACTGGGGTTTAGTGGCAATTATGGATAAATAAAGATCCCTTTCTTTATGCTTTCTGCTCCCCCTGTGTGTTTGCCCCCTCTTTTGGGGTATTTTCGTTGGCCTTTTTTTCTGTAGTGCTTTCAGCTGGGTTTTGTATTTCCAGGAGCTGAATGGGGTGTAGTGATTAGAGGAAGGAGTTGGAGTTCTTATGTCCCAGATAACGACTCCGTGGGTGACCTGGGATAAACCTGTAGTTCCACACTTTGTTCTAACCCAGGAGAGAGAGTTTCCAGGGATTCCTGGGGAGCCTTTTGTCCCTCAGGGACAGTTGTTTGGTTGTGGGGCTGCTCATTTTGAAAGGGATGTTGAAAAGCTTTGTTTACACTGTTGCTTTTTGCCCCTTTCTTTGAATGGGACAGTTGTCAGGATTTGTGGGACCACAGCCCAGATCAGGCTCTGGGGGTTCTCCATGAGCCCCAGGGGCCAAGGTGTGCAGAGCTGTGCTCTGCCTCAGCCTGGCTCATCAAGACAGACCTTCTTGGCCACAGTATCTTGTATTTTCATCCTCCCTCTGACAAATAGGAAAATTGAGTTTGTGTTGTCTCTCCTCCACGTTTCCTGCAGTTCACTGCCCCATGAACCAGGTGATGACAGACTCCACTGGTGTGATTCTCAGCCAGAGCTTCCTGGGGAGTTACCCCCACTTCCAGACCTGTTCCTGGGTGGTGAAGGTCGAGCCTGGGTACAACATCTCCCTCACCATTGAGTACTTCCTCAGTGAGAAGCAGTACGACGAGTTTGAGATCTTTGATGGTAAGAGATCCACCCCCTGGACCTGGGGGGTTGGAACTGGGTGATCTTTAAGGTCCCTTCCAGCCCAAACCACCCCGTGATTCTGTAATTCCGTGACTTGGTGGCAGTCAAGGGGGAAGGAAAGGAATGGCAGAGGTTTGTTAGTGGTTATCCCTGTTCCCAGAGCACTCCAAAGTCAGCTTCCCACTGCACTGCCTGTAACCTTCTGCTGAACTTGGAGCTCCTCCTAAGCCTCATCGATTCTCTGCATAAGAAAACATCAGTGATTTGATTTTTGGATGGATCTAAAGCGTTTTTCGAAGGGGCAGGAGTTAGCGAGCTCCCGGGAGAAATGGGAGCAGAGATTGCTGCCAGGGATGAGCTGGGAAGGTGGGAATTCTCATCCCTGAAGACCAGGCAGCCCAAATTCTCTAGGCCCATGAGTTCCCAGGATTGGAGAGGGATTTCAGGCCTGGAGGGGGGATCTGTCAGCATTCCCAGGGAAGCAGCTCCATGACCAGTGCAGAACACGAGTGCTGTGCTGGTGCTCCTGGAGCTGCCCTCTGGGACCTGAGCCCGAGGCATCTTGCCTGGAGCAAATCCTGGTCTTCCTGTGATCAGCTGGGCTTCATTTGCCATGGGGTTCCCAGGAGCCAGTGCCAGCCCTGCCAGACTCGTGTTCCCGGGATCACAGCGACGGCTCCGGGCGGCGACTCCTCAACGCTCCCATTCCAAAGGACCACGAGTGACTGTGTCAGCCCTGACTTTTCCCTGTTCCCTCCTTCCCCCCCAGGTCCCTCTGGCCAGAGTCCCCTGCTCCTGTCTCTGAGTGGGAACTACTCAGCCCCTCTGACCGTGACCAGCAGCGGGAACAACGTCTTCCTCCGCTGGTCCTCGGATCACGCCTACAACAGGAAAGGCTTCAAAATCCGCTACTCTGGTGAGCTCCCAGCAGGGCTGAGGGGGCTCCTCCTCAGCCAGGGGTCTCCACAAAGTTCCTGCAGAGGGACACAGACCATCTGTGAGGGCAGAAGCTGCCAAGGAAAGGCAGGTTGTGCCCAGGAGAAACCTCGAAGCCTTGGCTGGTTTCTCCACCACTCTGAAGAATCAGAACCAAAATTAAAGAGTCATGACCAGGAGAAAGTCCAGGAAGAAACCTTGAAAAGCTTTGTTTGCATTGTTGCTTTTTGCCCCTTTCTTTAAATGGGTCAGTTGTTGGGATTTGTGGAAACACAACCCAAATCAGGCTCTGGGGGTTCTTTAGTTGGCTTCTCAGCTGTTCCTCAGAATCAGAACAAGGATGTAGAGTGCCATTGATTCCAGAGGGGAGTTGGATTGGATATTGGAAAAGGCTTCCTGATGAAGGGGTGGTCAGGCATTGGAATAGGCTGCCCAGGGAAGTGGTGGAGTCACAGCCCTTGGAAGTGTGCAAAAAATGTGTAGATGTGGTACTTGGGGACCTGGTGTGGTGGTGGGTTAATGGTTGGACTCGATGCCCTTTGAGGTGTTCTCCAGCCTTGATGATTCCATGATTGTATAGATGAGGTGGCTCTGGATCTGGATGAAGGAAACCCATCCCAAAGATTGCTGTGTTCCTGAATTATCATGTGCTCTCGTTGTGAGATGTTGGAAGATGAACATCCCAAAACATCAGCACTTGTGTCAGGAGCTGCATGAGGCACAACTTCCCTGTGGTTGATGGTGTCACACGTGGTTAAACACACTGTGCTCAGGTGTTCTCCTCCAGCTCTTGGGAGCAGGACCAGGGGCTCTTGGTTGCTCACTCAGCACAAACCCACTGCTGAAGAGTGAATATTTACTGGGAACTCCTTCAAATGAGTTACTGTGTTTCAGAACTTGGCAAATCTTAATTAATGGAAGTTATAAAACCAGGTTGAGAACTTGCCAGTATGTCCTAAATAAATAATGACTTTACTCAGTAAATGAATTAAGTAATATTTAATTATCAGAAATTAGTCTTTATTTCCAGAGCTGAGTGAAACTTGGACTGGAGCCCCTTTGACTTTGTGTTTATCCATCACAGATCTGGCACAGCCTCAGGTCGGGGTGTAAGTCCCGAAAACGGGAAGGGAATTCCCTTGCTGCTGCCCCATCCAGGGGTTGATTTCTTTTCTCCTGCCCCTCTCCAGCTCCTTACTGCAGCCTCCCCCAGCCCCCAGCCCACGGGATGATCCTGAGCCACACCGGGCTGAGCCCCGGCAGCTCCGTCCGCTTCGGCTGCGACTCCGGGTACCGCCTGGCCGGGCACAGCACCAGCACCTGCACCCAGCACCCCCAGGGCTACTTCCACTGGAGGGAGGCCATCCCTCTGTGCCAAGGTGAGAGCACTGAGCTGTTATAAAGATCCAGCAGCTACGGGGAGGATGGGGGAGAAGGCGGTCAAATTACAAAAATATCAGAATTCCTCTAATTCCCTGTTGAGTTGGGCATGCAGGTGGGCACTGAGGGGTGATCCTCGTGTGCAGGTCCTTGGGAGTAGATGGGCAAAGAGGGAAGGGAGTAAGTGTTTGGGGGCATTGAGAATGGGTGATTAAAAAATCGTCTGTGTGAAGGATCCCAGGGCAGAAGTGTTTGAACCCTCGGCGACCACACAGCCAGGCCTTGGTTGAGAGTGGGAGAAGCTGTTGCTTGGGAGGATCTGGAAAGGCCTGGGAGGATCTGGAAAGGCTTGGAAGAATCTGGAAAGGCTGCCAGGAGTAGGGATCCTGCTCTGTTTTAGTGGCTGGAATTTCCTTCAGTAATTCTGGAAGTGCCCTCTTAGGTCTGTTTGTGTCAATGGGGGGTGAGAAATTTCTGAGGGTTCACATGGTTCCTGTTGGCTTCATCTAAGATTTAGGCATGTGGTTGTTCTTTCCACATTTCCTCCTAATTAACCATAATCTCTGTGACATGTCATGCCCAGCATGGAGCAAATTCCAGGCAGGGGAGGGATGGGGGACAGGGCACTGTGCCCCGGCGGGGTTTTGCTTCTGTTCCGTCCCGTTCTCTCTCTGTTCATTTTCTGATTGCACCTTTTTCTGCACCCGCCAATCATCCCCGTTCCTTTGTGCTGCTAAAATGCCCATCTTTATTCTGATGAAGCCTTTCAGTGTCTTTGAACATTCATCCATGTTCCAAGGGGACCGAGCGCTGGGGATTAATATTGCATCGACTTCCCTGGAAACCAGCCAGGGAACAGAGACAGCACAGGCACCACCAGCTCACTGCAGTGTCTGCACTGCTGGCCAGGCCAGGCTGGAGGGAAAAGTGGGATTGTTTAGTGTGGGAGGTACCAAGAAGCCCTGAAAAAAATCCTTTCTGTGCTCCTGAATCGCTCGGGCCCTTCGGGAGTTGCACCTCTGAAGGGTGACTTTGTGCCGTGGCTGCTCGTTTCCCTTTGGAGTTGATTTAGATGTGAGTGGAAAGCAATAAATCGAAATCCTGCTGCCCCATCCCGCTGGCAAAGGGGAGCTGGGAAGCTGGGCACGGGCTCAGGTAGGGATTTAGCCTCCCTGAAAACAGGATGGGGCAAAGCCAAGTGCTGGAAGGAGCAGCTGAGCAGCACAGCGAGGGCTGTCATGGCAACTGTGCCTCCCTTAGCCCAGAGTAAGGGATCCCTCTGATTTACTGCATCTTTTTTTTGAAGGAGAATCATGTAATCCAGAACAGGTACAAGTGCTGCTCAGCTTCACTGCCTTGCAGTGCTGCTGGAATGTCACCTGAGCCTCGTGTGCAGCTCCAAAAGCTGGATTTACTTCCAGAGGGGTAGTGCTGTGTGGGGACTGGGTTTTAAAATGGGAAGGAGGGGAGCAGATCCAGGGGGGATGTGTGGGGAGGTTGGGAGAGGATGTGCCAGGATGGGGTGACCCTGACAGCCGGGGTTCAAAGCAGAAACAAGTCCCTGAGCAGCAGTTCCCAGGTCAGCAGGGAGGGACTCAGAGCCAGACCATCCATGGCTTGTCCCTACCAGGCCTGGAAATGTTGGGAAGCTCCTGTGGTGTTGCTGAGCACCCCAAATCTGCACTGTGGGCAGGGATTTCCCATGGGAGCTGCACTGGGAGCACCAATTCCCATCCTGCACCTTCAGCTGAAGGTGTGACATGTCAGGAGCACGATGGGCACAATCCATGGTGCCACTCCATGGCAGAGAAAGAATTTGGGGACTGATTCCCAGCATTTCAGGTGGGCTCCTGATTCAGTTTCCCCTTGGGAGGGGTGTGTGTCCCCACTGACTATGCAAAGAGCACCTTGGTCAGGGTCTTGGTGCTGGGTGTCCCTCTGGAAGAGCCTGTCTTCCTCCAGCAAGGAGAACTTGCTGGGCATGTTAGATCCTGAGGCTGAAAGAAGCCCTTGGGGCAAGTCACCCTTTGTGTTTCCTTGGATTTCTGTCAGGAATCTTAACCCTGGCCAGTGCCTTGGGATGGGTGAGTGAGCAGCAGTGAGCCAGAGCTGGAAGAGAATTGGTGGAGGAGCAGCTCCCCCCCAAGGCCTGGAGCAGTGGCCAGGGCTGGCTCCACTTTTCCTTCAGCTACATAAAATCCAACATCCTTTTTTTTTTCCCCCCCAGATTGCTCTCTCAAAGCCAACTGGCAGTCTCTTGTTTTGGGCTGTGCTCAAATTCTCATCCTTTCAGGTGGCCGGGACCTCCCAGCAGAGATTTGGGAATGGCATAAATTGCCCCCCAGTCAGCCGTGGCAGGAGGAGGGGAACTGGGGTGCCCATAAACACTCGGTCTGGTTAACAAGTGCCATTTCCCAAAGCTCCTTTCTGCCAGCTCATAATCCTCTCCCCCTTCCCCATCCCCTCTGAATAATCTTTACTACGTGCTCCGTCCTCGCTGACATTTCTGGAGGCAGCAGAGAATATTCTGCAGGGAACAATCCTGCCTTGGCACAGAGGGGAGAACACTCCATGATCTAATACTGCCTTCTCTCTCTCTGCTGCCTATTTTTAAGCAGCTTTGTTTTTGGAATCCCAGCTGCAGCCTTGCTTTCCCAGCCTCTGTCCCTTCTCCCAGCAGACAAGAGTTCCTGCACCTCTGAGCCCCCAGAGCTGCCCCTTCTCCTTTTGCCCTGGATCCTGCTCTCTGTGGGTGACTCTGAGCCAAACACTGCTTTGATTTGCCCTGGAAGAACCTCTGCCATCCCTGGTTTTGGGGGATCCTGCAGGTTTATTGCCACTCCAAAAATCAAACATCTCTTGCTTTGTGTGGGCCTCTGTAAATAAAAACTTACTAATGTTTGCAGAGTGACAGAGAGTAGGTGTAAGTTGGATATTGGGAAGAAATCCTTCCCTGTGAAGGTGGGGAGGCCCTGGCACAGGTTGCCCAGAGAAGCTGTGGCTGCCCCATCCCTGGAAGTGTCCAAGGCCAGGCTGGACAAGGCTTGGAGCAACCTGGGCTAGTGGAAGGTGTCCTTGCCCATGGCAGGGGGTGGCACTGGATAGGCTTTAAGGTCCCTTCCAAGCCAACCCATCCTGGGATCCTCTGAAATGAAGGCAAGAGGGAGCTCAGCCTCTCTGAGCTGGAGCACAGCTGGCCCTGGGCTCCCTTCCCTCCCTGGGCCTCAGTTTCTTGGGGGCAAATAGAGGGGATGAGTTCTGGGGAAGGCTCAGGCTGCAGAAGAGAATGGAAGGGAGAAGGGAGAAGGTTTTGATGGGGGTGGTGACGTGGGAAGGGCTCAGCTTCCCCCCCAGCCCCCGTGGCTGGATGCAATGGAAAGGAATAACAGAACTGCGGGGTGGAAGGGAAAAGGTTGGACTTCCCAGGTCCCCTCTTTTCCCTGGGAATGAAATTGGTATTCAGTGTGGCTGCTTGTCTAGACACCCAGCCTTGGAGAGAGCTCCTGAGCCCGCCGGAGTGACATCCCTGTGATTATCAGCCCAGCCAGGGATGTGCCTGATCCTGCAGAACTGCTCACACCTCTGAGCAACACCAGCCCCTGCCAGCATGGGGGATCCTGCTCCAGCATCCCAGGAGGAGCAGGAGTGGGATAAAAGCTGCTTGGACCTTAGGGGAGTGGTGGGAAGCTCCGGGGCTGTGCTGCTGCTGCACACACTCATTTGGTGTCTCTTCTCCAGCTCAGTGGGGTCCCTGTCACCAGAGGGTCACTTCTCTAAGGTTGCTGGTTTTGCAGCCCTGGTTGTTGTGCAGAGGGAATGACAGGAAGGTGAATGTGTTGGAGTGTCAGCACTTGGGTCAGGAGACACGGGCTCAGCCTCCACCTCCTGCACGAGCTGAGCGGGAGCAGCTTGGGCTCCTCCGGGAGGGGATGGTTGTCCCTCGGAGCAGTTTGGAAATGCAGACAGGGGTGGGTTTGGTGTTGGCCTGCAGGGCTGTGCTCTGTGGCAGCTCCTGCTCCTCTCAGAGCCCCACAGAAGCATTGGCAGCCCACTGGCTGGTGGTCTCCCAGTGGAGCTTCCCCTTGGCCATCCCATCCTGTCCAGACGGCTCAGTTGGTCACCTCCAGCTCCAGCAAGATGGGCTTCCCCAGGGCCAAGGCCTGGAGAGGGATGGGAACCCACAGGGGGGGTTTGGAGGCAGGTCTGGGTTTGGTTTCCCAGCTCCTTTGAATGCTGAGAGAGAAGAGCAGCTGTGAGTGAGGGGCTCTCAGCGCTGCATTCCCAGGGGAGGGAAGGAGGGTGACAGGGCTGCTCGTGTCCTGCAGCAGAAGTGAATGTGGCTCTTCTCTGTCCCTCTGTGGGGCCTGCCTGTCCCCTCCCTGCCCTGTTTGGGGCTCCCCTGGCTGCAGAGCCCAGGGTTTCAGCAGGAGTGGTGCAGAGCCTCCTCTCCCAAGCACTTCCATCTCTTGGCTCTGTGCCCGTTTATCCATTTTTCCCCTGAACAACCCCCTCCTTTACCTCCTCAGCCGTAACTCTAAATTTAGCCTTCCTTCTGCCACAACATAATTACACAATTTGCTGCCTTATGTAATCCAGAAGTGCTCTTGGAGAGGGGTTTGGGGTTGTTGCTGCTGTGGGATGTAAATACAAAGCGTTCTCGCTATCTAATCCGTTATCTCTGTGTGAAAACTTTGGAGTGCTGTGTTGATGCATTTTGTGTTACAGATATTATGGAAAGTACAGCCAGAGTTCTCTTCCAGGAGAAATTGGAATTCAGTGTTGGCTTTGCTGTTACCCTACTGATAGGGTTGAAAATGTGATCCTCTGTGGAAGTGGACATTCCCTGCAGTTTCTGGAGCTGTTGTGAGAGTTCAGGAAGTGTTTGGGTGATACTCTCAGGCACAGGGTGTGACTTTTGGGGAGGGTCCTGTGCAGGGCTGAGGGTTGGACTCCATGATCCTTGTGAGTCCCTTCCAACTCAGCACATTCTGGGATTCTGTGAATAGGAGGGTTTGGGAGCTGTGCTTCGGGCTCGCCACAAATCCGGGATAAAACGGGAAGCTGACTGATTTCTGGGCTGTGGTTTTTTTTCCCCAGCTCTGTCCTGTGGAGTTCCCAGAGCCCCAAGGAACGGGGTTGTCTTTGGCAAGGAGTACACAGTGGGCACAAAGGCTGTGTACCACTGCAACCAGGGCTTCCAGCTGCAGCCAGGATCGGAGCCCAGCACCGAGTGCCTGCAGTCGGGGCAGTGGAGCAACGGGAACCAGCCCCCCCAGTGCGTGGGTGAGTGTGGGAACAGCACATCCCACTGGGAATTCTGGCTGTCCAGTCAGTGGTGTCTCCCACCTGTAGCATGGATGGCTTTGCCCCGTGGGTGTGGTTGTTCAGGACACCATGTTTCTGATCCTGAGCAACTGGATAAATGTCCCCTCTCGTGGGGTTTTGGTTTCCCACCTCTCCAGGTGGTGTCTCCTCACTGAAAACCCACCACACTCACAGAGTCACAGAGTCTGCTCAGCTGGGAGGGACCCACAAGGATCATCCAGTCCAACCCTCAGCCCTGCACAGGCCCATCCCCAAGAGTCACCCCCTGTGCCCCAGAGGATCAGCCAAACCCTCCTGGAGCTCTGGCAGCCTTGGGGCTGTGCCCACTGCCCTGGGGAGCCTGGGCAGTGCCCAACCACCCTCTGGGGAAGAACCTTTTGCTGAGATCCAACCTGACCCTGCCCTGACACAGCTCCAGCATTGCCTGGCTGCTGTCCCTGGTCCCCCCAGAGCAGAGCTCAGTCCCTGCCCCTCCTCTGCCCCTGCCCAGGAAGCTGGAACTGCACTGAGGTCTCCCCTCAGTCTCCTCTTCCCCAACTGAACACACCGAGTGCCCTCAGTGTCCTCACACAGCTTCAAATCAAGTCCCTTCCCATCCTTGTTGCCTCCTTTGGACACTGTAACAATCAAACACCCATTAACACCTTTTCCTGTCCCCTTTTCCCCCCCTGGCCCTGCACCCCCCATGTCCAGCCGTCGCCTGTCCCGACATCGGCAGCATCGCGGTGGAGCACGGCCGGTGGAGACTCACCTACGAGAGCCAGTACCACTACAACGCCCAGCTCATGCTCATCTGCGACCCTGGCTACTACTACACGGGCCAGAGGGTCATCAGGTGCCAGGCCAATGGCAAGTGGAGCGTAGGGGAGCCCATGCCCACCTGTAAAAGTAAGAGCAGGGGCACTCGGGGCAGGGTTGGTCTCGCAGGGGGTGGGGGGCCTGTTTTTTCCCTTTGGTGGGTGCAACCACACCACAGCCCTGGCTGCTCTTGGCAGCACCTGAGGTGGATGCACCAGAACTCTCTGTTAGAAGAGGGTTTGCATGCAGGGAGAGGTCAGGTCCTGATGTGATCTTGGTTTGATCCGAGTGGCTCTGGGTGAGCTCAAGCGCTCTGAGCTGTCGGGTCCCAGCAGCTTTGCTGTCACCACTGCCAGATGCTCTGAAGTTTGCTTTTAAGAAGGAAAAAAATAAAACCTGCTGGTGTAAAACCTCCCCTCTTCCCTCTCCATGCAAACACCAGGTTTACAAGGGTAGCGGTGTCACCCGTAAATCAAAACCACTCTGGGCAAACAAGCAGCTCTCAGTTGTTTTGCCACGACTGCTGTGCTTTGGATCTTCCCTTTTGTCAAAGGTGGAGGGTTTTTTTCCTCTCCAAGTGCAGACAGAGACAGAAAAACCTCTCCTTCCCTCCTGCCTCCCTTTGTTTGTGGAGATGTGACTGCGGGGTGGGTGACAGATGTACTTTTCCCCCCTGCCAGCTCTTCCGCCAGATCCGGGAGCAGGAGCCTGACCTCGTTTTATTCCCTCAGCCTTATTGCCACCTAAATTCAAATGACAGGATCTTGGCAGAGCACCGAGGTCACGAGCACCCAGTGTGAGTCCCTTGGCTTCCCGCTGAGGGCAGGAGCTCCGGAGGGTTTGCAGATCTTTGAGGCAGAGAAAATAAAGATTAAAAAAGAAGGAGCTGAAGTGTGTGGCTGGGAGCTGTGGCTGCAGGGCTCCAGCTGCTGCAAACTCACCTGGGTGTCCTCTGTGGGTCTCACCTTCAGGTGCCAACTCTGTCCTGGAGGTCACAGGGTGGGGGAAAAACTGGGTGTCACTTTTCATTGGAAGTTTTGTGCCATTTCAAGGTAACGCTGGACAAAAGGGCTTGGGAGAATTGGGATTGTTCAGCCTGGACAAGAGAAGGCTTTGGGGTGACCTGATTGTGACCTTCCAGTGCCTGAAGGGAGCTGAGAGGAAGGATGGAGGGAGACTATTTACAAGGGCCTGGAGGGACAGGACAAGGGGGAATGGCTTTAAGCTGGAAAAGGGGAGATCTGAGTGGGATATGGGAAAGGAATCCTTCCCTGGGAGGGTGGGGAGGCCCTGGCACAGGTTACCCAGAGAAGCTGTGGCTGCCCCATCCTTGGAAGTGTCCAAGGCCAGCTTGGAGCAACCTAGGCTGGTGGAAGGTGTCCCTGCCCATGGCAGGGGTGGAACAAGATGAACTTTCAGGTCCCTTCCATCCCAAACCATTCTGGGATCTTGTGATGTTGTGGAATTGCTACAAGTCAAGTTTCCCACTGCACCTGACAGTGGGTTAATGGTAGAAATATTCCTGTGTGAGAAACTTTCCGTGTGAAAAGCTCCTTTAGTTTCTTCCTGGCCTGTCTTTAGCACTCCCCTCGTGTCCTGAACATAAATATTAACAGCACTTGTATTTGTCACCTCGTCTAACACGGCTCTGAATTGTTATTTCTCATGTAACTATTTAATAATCTTTCCCACTCATTCCTTACTCCAGTAAGGAGTGACTGGGGGAGGTTCTTCCCAAACCAGCTGCTCCCAGCCTGGTTTTGCTCACGGTGCTTTTGGGATCTGTCCTAGTTATCTCCTGCGGGGACCTGCCGACGCCTCCCAACGGGAACAAGATCGGGACCCTGACCAGCTACGGGGCCACAGCCATCTTCTCCTGCAACACTGGCTACACCCTGGTGGGCTCCCGGGTCAGGGAGTGCATGGCCAACGGGCTCTGGAGCGGGGCAGAGGTCAGGTGTCTGGGTAGGTGTGGGGTTTGTTGGGAAAGAGCCCCGGTGGCAGCGTCCACGGCGTGTTAGAAAGAGTCCTGATGGTGTTTTGGGAGGGAATTGGGGGGTTCTGCTACTTGCTCCAAGCCAGGACTCAGGGCAGGGTCAGGTTGGATGTTAGGAAATGGTTCTTCCCCCAGAGGCTGGTTGGGCACTGCCCAGGCTCCCCAGGGTTTGGGCACAGCCCCAAGGCTGCCAGAGCTCCAGGAGGGTTTGGACAACACTCTGAGGGACAGGATGGGATTGTTGGGGTGTCTGTGCAGGGCCAGGGGTTGGACTGGATGATCCCTGGGGGTCCCTTCCCAATTCTGCTGGAGCTGTAGGGTTTTAAGTAGATCTAAAAAGGGAGCAGACTTTGATTCCTGACTGCTCAATAGACACAAGGTGCTCGGAGACCTGAGAGCTTTAAACTGGTGGTGTTTATTTATGGTTGCTCTGCTTTGGTTTATTTATGACAGCAGAGTCTGGAATTAACAGCCTCAAGCTGGAGGAGGACTGGTTAAATGGGATATTGGGAAGAAATCCTTTGCTGTAAGGGGTGGACCTGGGCACAGGTTGCTGTGAGGAAAGGCTGGGAAAATTGGGATTGTTCAGCCTGGACAAGAGAAGGCTTTGGGGTGACCTGATTGTGACCTTCCAGTGCCTGAAGGGAGCTGAGAGGAAAGATGGAGGGAGACTATTTACAAGGGCCTGGAGGGACAGGACAAGAGGGAATGGCTTTAAGCTGGAAAAGGGAAGATATGGGTGGGATATTGGGAAGGAATCCTTCCCTGGGAGGGTGGGGAGGCCCTGGCACAGGTTGCCCAGAGAAGCTGTGGCTGCCCCATCCCTGGAAGTGTCGAAGGCCAGGTTGGAGCAACCTGGGAGAGTGGAAGGTGTCCCTGGGTTGAAATGAGATGATCTTTAAGGTCCCTCCCAACCCCAACCATTCTGGGATTCTGTAATTCCCCAGAGAGTTTCGGGGGCGGGCGATGCCCTCGGGGGGCATCCGTGGTGATTCCCAGTGATTCCCAGTGATCCCCAGTGACTGTCCCTTCCCCCCAGCTGGCCACTGTGGCGTTCCCAGCCCCATTGTGAACGGGCAGATCAACGGGGAGAACTACAACTACCGGGGCAGTGTGGTGTACCAGTGCAGCCCCGGGTTCCGCCTCATCGGCATGTCCGTGCGCATCTGCCAGCAGGACCACCGCTGGTCCGGCAAGACCCCTGTCTGTGTGCGTAAGTATGTGGGCACCTTGGCACCTCCCTCCGGCCCTAGGGGTGGCCAGAGGGCAGGAGGAAGGGTGGGAGGCCATGTCAGGGGCACCCCAAACTCCTGTACCCTCCCAGAGACCCTCAGACCCCCCCCTGCCCACAGAGGCAATTGCTGGAGGAACAGTCGTCCTGGCACGTGCAGTGCTGGGGCTAGGGGCACTGGGGGGGTTAAGGGCACCCCTAGAGAACCCCCCAGGCACCTCCAAACACTCTAGAGACCCCCGAAGAGCACCTCAGAGCACCTGACACCTGCAGCACTGCAGGCCTCTCTGCCTGCTCATTTTCCAGCCCTGTCCTGCCATCAGCTTGCATAAGGAATAAATTGCCATCCCTGTGGCACAGTCCAGCCTTGGCAGCCAAATGTGTTATGGATCTTTAGTGGGGGTTTCATCTTCCCCTCAAGCTTCTCCTGGCACTGGCAGCTGCACAGCAAAGCTGTACTGATGGGCCATTACCCCTTTTCAGCATGACAATAATCAATATGGCTTTGTCCTCAGCTGTCACAGGGTGTCACATCCCTTAAGCAGCCAAAAAAAGCTCTTGATGGTTTATCCTGACTTTTCTTTTGTGCAGTGGAACTCGCTGCTGGGCTGGAATCAGGGGCTGTGTCCTCCCTGTGTCACCAGCAGAGTGGTCCAGGCACTTTCCAAAAGCACTTGGAATTTTGGAATTGGCTGTGCTTCCTGCTGCTCCAGCCTTTGCCTCTCCCCATCCCTGGGTGTTGCCAGAGCAGCTCAGACAGGACCCTGCACATTCCACCTCAAACCAACATCAGCCCCAGGAAGAACTACACAAAACCCCACATTCCAGAGCTTTGGAAATCAAGGTTTCCCCCCAAAGTTTTTCCTACTTAAAGCAGGCAGATTTAACCTTTCCAGGCCATATGCTAGAAACCTGATTTTTCTCATATTTTTTTCCTCTCTTTTAGCTCTCCCTCCAGGTGTAACTTTTTACTGCAGTGAGCAGAAACCTGACTGGCAGCGGGGAGAGAGGGGGGAGCAGCAGGTTTTGTGATGGTGTGTGATGCCCAGAGTGATGGGAGGCAGTAGATGAAGAGCAGGAGCTGGGATTTTTGAAGAGGAGCTCTGGGGGATTTATGGTGTCAGTCAGTGGGATACTGGCACTCAGTGCTCAGAGAGTGATGCAGAGAATCCCTCCTGCCAGTCAAATGAACAAAGACCCCGTGCTCTCCACTTGAGTCACTATTTCAGCAGAGCTGGTCCCAAACCTTTGAAGGCAGTGCAGGTTTCAGGATTGATGGGGGTGGGTTTTTTTAATGCTCTCTGACCTCGAAGACTTTTTCTGACGTGTGATAAACGAAGTCTCCAGTTTCTCTTAAGTTTTTGAATAGGAGTTTATTATCTGGTAAAAGCAAGCACAGCCAGCTGGGTGACAGAAATGGGGACAAGTTTCCCAAATCTGCACACACCTACCACAGTGTACATTTGGCATTTATCTCAGCTGCTTCGTGCATATTAATTATCTCATATACATATACATTTTACAGGTTTTTTGCTAAGTATTTAATATATGGGTTTTCTTACAGCTAAAGCTAAATTATTATCTCTACAACCGGTCGCAATTCCTGCATTCTTGGACAAACAGATGCCTAAAAGATTTAAAGTTCTACCATATTTTATTCTTAGGATAGTAGGGAGGTTTTAGGGCCCCTTGACCTTCTAAGGGTCTGTTTTATGTCTTTATTGGGTTGTAATTAAGTTTCACAATCTGTTTGTTTTATTTTGATGTCATCACCCATTTGTTTCTCGAATCACAGTTATTTATCACAAACGGATGATCCGCCTTCTTCCAGGGGAGAAAAAAAAATAAAATTAAAAAAAAATAGGTAATATCTCCACTTTCTGCTTGTAGCCATCACCTGTGGGCACCCTGGCAACCCTGCCAACGGCCTGACCCAGGGCACTCAGTTCAACCTCAACGACGTGGCCAAGTTCGTGTGCAACCCCGGCTTCCGCCTGGAGGGAGCATCCCAATCCCAGTGCCTGGCCAACGGCCAGTGGAGCAGCACCCTGCCCTCCTGCCGTGGTGAGTGCTCCAGGAAGGCTGGGGAGGGCAGGGCTGGGCCTTCCTCCCCGGCTTCTCTGAGTTCCTAACCCCCAGAAATTCCTGCCGGCCAAACCTGGAGTGTCCGAGCGGTGCCTGAGCTCCGAGGGCCGGGGGGGAATCTCAGGGAACAAAGCTGCTTTTACCCTGGGGCTTTTCTCTGACCCTGCCCAGCCCTGCATCCTCCAAGCCATTGAGGTGTGGGTGGTAAGTGGGGAGGACACCAGGAAATCCCAGCTCAGCCCTGGTGACCCCAGAGCAGTTTTACTCCAACCCCCCCAGTTTTGTGCAGAGCCCTTTTTCGTGCTGGGCTGCCCAACTTCCACTGGGATCAGCACTGAGGTTCACTTATCAAATTCCCTCCCCTCCCTGCACTCCCTCCCTCTGTACTCCCTCAGTCCAGTATCTCTGTCGATGCTGTTGCTGTGTCGGTCAAAGAACTGGTGATTCCCAACTGGAGAATGGATGTCCCAGATTGGGATCACTTTATTCCTAACTGGTTAATGCACATCCCAGTTTGGGATCACTTATTCCCAACTGGAGAATGTATGTCCCATTTTGGGATCACTTACTCCCAA